GGATTGCTTGAGCTCATGAGTTCGAGACCAGCCTGAGCAAAAAGCAAGACTTCCCCCATTTCTATTAAAAATAGAAAAACTGAGGCAAGAGGATCACTTGAGCCCAAGAGTTAGAGGTTGCTGTGAGCTATGATGCCATGGCACTCTACCCAGGGTGACAGCTTGAGACTCTATCTCAAAAAAGAAAAAAAATTAAAATTAAATAGGGCAGTGCCCATAGGTCAGCAGGTAGGGCACCGGCCACATACACCCAGGCTGGGGGGTTCAAGCCCGGCCCAGGTTTGAACAATAGCTAAACAACAACTACAACAATAACAATAACAAAAATAGCTGGGCGTTGTGTTGGTTGCCTGTAATCCCAGCTACATGGGAAGCTGAGGCAAGAGAATTGCTTAAGCCCAAGAGTTGGAGGTTGCTGTTGAGTTGTGATGCCACAGCACTCTACCGAGGGCAACATAATGAGACTCTGTCTCAAAAAAATAAAATAAATAAAAAAGTAAAATAAATTAGATTTATAGTCACAGTTGCATCATTTGGTAAATTTAATAAAAATCATTAAAGTATATACTTGATGGATTGACATTATGAGTTGACATATATAAAGAATACTTCAATAATGCTGTTAAAAAAGGAGAGAAAGCCTGAATTTCTTTGAATCCTTCTGAGAGAGCTTCTCACAGTGAAAGCTTTGGGCAGCAATGAGGCTCGAACAAATAAAAACACCCAGCTGGGGATGGTGAGTAAGACTACGGACTTTACTTATACTTTTATATGACTTTAAATCCCAACTCTAACAAGTTCTTAAACTTTTAGTGCCTTACCACTGCAGGAGGTGGACGAATTGCTTGAGATCAGGAGTTCAAGACTAGCCTAAGCAAGAGTATTTTCTACTAAAAGTAGAAAAAACTAGTTGGGCATAGTGGTACATGCCTGTAGTGTCAGCTACTTGAGAGGCTGAGGCAAGAGGACCCTGGGCCCAAGAGTTTGAGGTTGCTGTGAGCTATGTAGATACCAAGTTAGTTTAGTTACACTCACTTCCTTGGACAGTGTGAACAAAGGGAGTCAATAAAGCAATTGTCATAATGCTTAGCTAATAATAAATCTAGTCATTGTTATTATTCCAAAGAGTGTCTTTAGAAACCAACCTCTAAGAACAAAGTTTTGCCCAGAGCCTGAGCTAAGAGCTTTGAGTTGATGGAAGTAAAGCTTCAGAAAGAAAATTAAGGGAGATAAATGAACATGGCCAAGGGAAACTATAGGCCATCTGGTACTACGATGTCACCTACCAAGCTTCACTTTCTTCCTTCTCTCGTCAAGTTTCTGGGTCCTCTCTGCTGCCTGCTTCTTGGCTTTCCTGACCTTGTCATAAGCAGCCTGGCAGAAGAAAGGAACACAAAGCAGTAGATCCACCAGAGAAAAAAGACAACCCTCTAGCAATCTGCCTGGCCCCTGCCTGCTAGCCACACCATCAACAGGGAGGCAGCCTAATGACTCCAACACTTAGATAGCAAGGACTGCCCACATGGCAGAGGGCAGAGGACTGAGGTTAAAGGACAGAGTGGGTGGTCTCTAACCATGCAGGATAATTCAGATAAAGGAAGATACACTTACCCTGGCTGCAGCATCAGTCAGCACCTCCAAGGCCTGAGAAAGCTGGTGGAAGAGTTCAGCTACACATAAGAATCAAAAAGAGAAAAAGTACAAAAATAAAGTTAGCCTTGGTGATGGTGTGCTTCCCCTCTCTCCCCCCAAAAAACACTTCTCATGCCTGAAAACCCAGTACTTTGGGAGGCAGAAGTGGGAGAAGCATTTGAGTCCAGGTATTTGAGACTAGACTAGGCAACATAGCAAGACCCTGCCTCTACAAAAAATAAAAAATATTAGCCAGGCATGGGGACAGGTACCTATAGCCCTAGCTTCCTGGGAGGCTGAGGCAAGAGGATCACTTGAGCCTGGGAGCTTGAGGCTGCAGTGAGCTATGATGTATCACTGCATTCTAGCCCGGGCAACAGTAAGACCTGTTTGTATCACAATAAACAAACAAAACAACAACAAGTTCAAAGCCACAGGTTTTTTTTAAGAAAAAAAATAAAGGTGGCCAAGCATGGTGGCTCACACTTGTAATCCTAGCACTCTGGGAGGCTGAGGCAATGGATTGCCTGAGCCAGACCAAGACCTCATCTCTAAAAATAGCCAGGCATCATGGCAGGCACCTATACTCCCAGCTATTTGGGAGGCTGAGGCAAAAGAATCACTTAAGCCCAAGAGTTTGAGGTTGCTGTGAGTTGTGACACTACTGCACTCTACCAAGGGCAACAAAGTAAGACTTTGTCTCAAAAAAATAAAAAAAATAAAAAATAAAAAAAATAACAAAAAGAGCTGGGCGAGGTCGCTCACGCCTATAATCCCAGCACTTGGGAGGCCAAGGCAGGCCGGTTCGAGACCAGCCTGAGCCAGAGTGAGAACCTGTCTCTAAAAAATAGCTAGGGGTTTAGCACCCGTAGCTCAACGAGTAGGGTGCAGGTCACATACACTGAGGCTGGTGGGTTCAACCCTGGCCTGGACCTGCTAAACAATGACAACTGCAACCAAAAATAGTCAGGCATTGTGGCAGGTTCCTGTAGTCCCAGCTACTTGGGAGGCTGAGGCAAAAGAATCACTTAAGCCCAAGAGTTTGAGGTTGCTGTGAGCTGTGATGTCACGGCACTCTACCAAGGGTGACATAGTGACACTCTGTCTCAAATAAATAAATAAAATAAAAAAAGAGAAGCCACAGGGTAGGCAGAAAAGCCTGCATCAGCAGATGACATACCAGCAAGGATGAGTGGGCACATCAGCAATTGACTGGACCCTCCTAATGTGTGAAAGAAGGCCCTGGGACCCACTGGCCCAGACTAGGTGCACCACCTACTTATGCAGAGTTTAGATTGAGAAACAATGCTCAGGTGAGCAGGTCTCTTTCTCCCCATACCCTTAATAGGGTCTTACCTGCTCTGGGATTATCTGGATTTTTGTCTGGATGGCAGGAGAGGGCCTTTTGTCTATATGCCTTCTTCACCTGGAAAAGTCAGACAGAAGACATGTTCATTTACTCTCTTACCCCAGGGATGAACACGAAAAAGCACACTCAAGTGATAAGGGAAATCCCATGCCCCCATAAGGAGAAGCTGATGGCTTCCACTTCATAGCCATTTGCAACAGAGGAGGCAAAGGCCATGGAGACAATTGGTCACTGCTGCCCAGCTGAGGAGCCAGGCCTACTTCCTGCTGAGCACTCAGTCTCACCACTGCAGATGTCAAAGGGTTCCTGGAAGAGTAGGAGCATAGTATTCTGGTTTCTTTCTAGCCATTTTACTCTCTACACATTCTTAGGGGACATGTAAACTGAGGCAACCTTTCTGGAGGAAAATTTAGCCACCAAATTTTATTCTATTTTATTTATTTATTTTTGAGACAGAGTCTCACTATCTCTTCCTCAGTAGAGTGCTATGGCATCACAGCTCACAGCAACCTCAAACTCCTGGGCTTAAGTGATTCTCTTGCCTCAGCCTCCCAAGTAGCTGGGACTACAGGCGCCCCGCCACAATGCCCAGCTATTTTTTGGAGCTGTCATTGTTATTTAGCAGGCCAGGGCCAGGCTCAAACCTGCCAGCCCGTGTATGTGGCTGGTGCCCTAACCACTGAAATAGGGGTGCCACCCAAGCCATCAAATTTTTTTTTTTTTATTATAAACAAATTTAATGACCAAATGATAGCCTGGTCAAAAACGTGCATCACCAAGGGCTGATCCCTGTACTAGGAAAGAACTCTCGCAAGCACCTAAGACTTGACAAACAGTTCTTTTTTTTTTTAAGAGACAGAGTCTCATTTTGTCGCCCTCAGCACAGTGCTGTTGCACCACAGCTCATAGCAACCTCTAGCTCTTGGGCTTAGGTAATTCTCTTGCCTCAGCCTCCCAAGTAGCTGGGACTACAGGCACCCGCCACACCTGGCTATTTTTGTTGCAGTTTGGCTGGGGCTGCAAGCCATCAAATTTTAAAATGCACTTTTCTGGCTCAGTGCCTGTAGCACAGTGCTAGGTTCAAGCCTGGCCTGGGCCAGCTTAAACAACGACAACTGGAACCAAAAATAGCCAGGTGTTGTGGCGGGTGCCAGTAATCCAAGCTATTTGGGAGGCTGAAGCAAGAGAATCACTTAAGCCCAAGAGTTTGAGGTTGCTGTGAGCTGTGACGCTATGGCACTCTACTGAGGGTGACATAGTGAGAGACTCTGTCTCAAAATAAATAAATAAATAAAAAATAAAATGTACTTTCCTTTTGACCCATTCCTAGGAATTTGTACTTATAGAGGTATGCTATAAATAAATATACAAGCATACTTATTGCAATGCTGTTTATACTAGTCCTTGCTGAAGCCAGCCAAAATCTCTATCATTAGGGAGACCTATTAAAAAACTTATGATAGGCTGGGTGTGGTGGCTCACACCTATAGTCTTGGCACTCTGGGCAGCTGAGGCATGAAGATCCCTTGAACTCAGAAGTTTGAGAGCAGTCTGAGCAAGAATGAGATCCTGTCTCTACCAAAAATAGTAAAATTAGCCGAGTTAGAGGCCCAGTCTCTACCAAAAATAGCAAAATTAACTGGGTGCTGTGGCAGGCACCTGTAGTACCAACTACTTGGGAGGCTAAGGCAGGAGAATCAACTGAACCCAGGAGTTTGAGGTTATTGTGAGCTAGGCTAATTCCATAGCACTCTAGCCTGGGCAACAGAGTGAGACTTTGTCTCAAAAAGAAAAAGAAAAGAAAAGAAAAATTATGATAGATAAAGGTCTCTAAGAGGTAACACAGAAAGATCTTTGGGGGAGAATGAGTGAATAAAAGCAAGGCTCAGAACAGTGCATATAATATGACACTTTCGGGTTTAAATTAAACAAACAAACAAATAAATGAAATATAGTTACAGATACTTGGGCATGTGCGTAGTTGTTCTATATTCATTTTTTTCTCAAAGAAAAGAATTCTTTTTTTTTTAAAGAAAAGAATTCTAATAATTTTTCTTTTCTTTTTTTTTTTTTCCAGACAGCATTCTCACTCTGTTGCCCAGGCTAGAGCGTCATGGCATCAATATAGCTCACAGCAACCTCAAACTCCTGGGCTCAAGCAACCCTCCCGCCTCAGCCTCCAGAGTAGCTAAGAGTACAAGTGCCCATCATACTTTTTATTTTTAGTAGAAACAGAGTCTTTTTTTTTTTTTTGAGACAGATCCTCAAGCTGTCACCCTGGGTAGTGTGCCATGGCATCACATCTCACAGCAACCTCCAACTCCTGGGCTCAAGTGAGTCTCCTGCCTCCGCCTCCCAAG